TTTTTCACACTCTGATCCTCAGAAGAATGTGTCATTACGAAGCTGTATGAGCACGGTGTGGGCTTTAACTGCGATTTTTTAAAATCCCTTTAATGAACATGTCGATGAGGAGCTGTCTTCAAGTCCGATCCAATGATCCGCATAAAGAGAGAGAGATGAAAAGACTTTGCTCTTTGGTGCCGGGGGAGGACACTTAGAAATGGAGACAATTTAGTGGCTGCCTAAACTGTAATAGGTTTAATGAGCTTTGTTAGTCCTAAAAATAACAGAATAATAACTATAAATACAGAGTGTATCTCTTTTATCAATACAAAGCATAAAACAGGTGTCTATGGAAAACAAAATTAAAAAATCTAAGCCTGTGTTTTTTCCAAAACTGTAGATTATTAATGTTTTCTTTATCAAAGCATATAGGTTGTTGAACACTTGCATTTTTCAAGATTCAACAATTCTTCAATTAAGTTGCTGAAAAGTAAAACACACTAACATAAAGAAAGTGCTGGATGTCAATTAAAACATTGTATTTCCATTTAATGGAAGGAACCGCATTTGATATCTTATGTCACATTCCCCCACCCATCTGCCCCACAACAATATTGTGCCCTTGGGCTTATTTCCAAAACACAACTTCAGCAGTTTTATGAACACATCGACATGTGCAGAGGACGAAAAAGCAAAGACGGAAGCAAACCGAGCGAGAGAAACAGCAGATGGGAACAGTTGCATTCAAATTTGAAAATGCGGTGCACGAACCGACCCACAGTGGACAGGCCACGTCCCTTCTACACACAGAGGAGGGCAAAGTACTCTCAGCTTGTTTAGTGAGCCGTCAGTACAGGGTCTGTAATCTGAACGGAACCTGTACAGACACACCACGAGAAAGGGAGTGAGAGCTACATTACTGTCTGTTTCCTCTGAGAAACAACACACAAAATCTCCAAGCTGACCTGCCAGCCTAAAGGCCAAAGGTCAGTCAGCTTGTGTAGGGACTCACAACTTCAAATTTCCAAAATTACAAAGAATTACAAAGAGAAAATATTAGCTAGTTCGAGTAAAATGAAAAATATTTTCGTTTGATAAGCATATCTTTGAGTTTTTTAAGCGTCAGTAAGAAAAACAAGATGTTCTGGATGTCCTTTGGAGCTACTTAATGTCACGGCAAACTATAACAATTATTTAAAATAACTGATCAAAATCAAATGCTTGGTGCAGCTGGAGAGAAACGAGAAAATGATGTCTGCAATTTATTGCCACGTTCTTCTACTTCCCTCAATTAATGAAGCGGCTGCAGTAATTCTATACATTTTATTATAACATAAAGTGTACTTGCATATCTTACAAATCACAGTCTATAATAAGCAGCAATTTCCTCAATGCAGTCATTTACAGGCCTTGTTGGTTATCATAACCATTTTCTCAATAGTGGAGATGAAAGCAGATGACCAAAAGAAAAAACTGTGATTTCATTTCAATAAACTACCAATTAGGGAGTTGTAGAGGCTATTATTGCAATGCAGAGGGAAACTGAGCCAAAGCCAGTTCAGCCTGCACATAAACACACACTTTCAGTGGTTGGACCTTGGTTTTTGACACAGCTCCTGCTGACAGCAAAGAGGCCTGCAAGTGGTGAAATGTGCAGTTAATGTGGGTGCTAAGTGGATTCTGCTGGCAGGACAGCCAGCTCATCTGGTCAGATCTAGTCAGCCCTCACTGGCAGATACAAGGCTGGAGTGTCCGCAAGATGATCAGCCTCTAATAAGAGGTGGCTACATACTGCTGAGTCGGTGTCTAGCATCAGCTCCTAATTAACATGCTTTGTGAAAAGCAATCATACCCGGGTGTATTCCAATCACACAGTGAAATTTAGCCGGCTGCGGCTTGTGAAGCACAGCGTGTCACACTGAGAATCAACAGGGACCGCTGCGGAGCAGAGGGAGCATGGCTGGGGCTGTCAGCGGAGCAGAGACCAGACAGCTCAGGGGATCCCTGCATGAGAAGAGTCTCTCCATGTGTGTATTTGTTGCCATCAAGGTGTTTGCGTGCTCTTGTCCACTGAAGGGAAGCAATCTTTTGAGCCGTCCAGGCACCAAATCACTCTCTCCATCCATGCTTCCGTGGCTTCTTTTACCCCAAAACACAGCCTCTTGCCTTACCCCAAGGGAGGCTGTGTGGGCAGAGTGAAGGGGGGACCAGGCAGCTGATAAGACTGTTGCCTGTCACCAATGCTAATCCCCAATCACTCACAGGACAAAGCCTCCTGTCCACCACACAGCTCCCCGAATGTGGCCACACAGAAGACATCAATCGGTAAACTTCCACCTGCCCGCCGAGATACCAGAGTTTAAACAGAGCACTATTGTACAGGTAGACAGCCGAGGCTGCAGCCAGGAATGCTGGCCTCCTCAAAAGGGGCACACATGAGCACGCTATCATACGGGAACAGCATGCACATAATCTGCTGATTAATAAAAAGGTCAGCATGGCAGAATGATTAATGTTCAAGTGATTGCAAGATTGAGTAGCAGAAAACAAAGGGCTTGTATGTCTGAGTGTATGCAAACGTGTTTGGTAAGTTTCAGATGCATTTTTGGAGGGAAAAAAATCCAGAAAAACAGCCTCATGCTGAAGTGACCACCTCCATGTGGCATACATGACAACTCAACCTGAAATAAATGAAAAGGGTTTGGCTAACCTCCCACCAACAGTGGGCGGAGAAAGATTAGGGCATAAAAGATCATGACTCATCTAGTTCTCTCGAGAAAAATGAAAGCTCAAATAGCTCCATGTACTCAACCCAAAACCCCAACCTCATTACAGAAACAACATGCTGTCCCTGCAAACAGATACAGAAAAATGATCTGGACAGCCATTTAACTTTTTTCATCAATTAAAATGAGTAATTTAGAGTCTGAAATTGCAGCAATCTACCTTGTTATTCAGTTCAAGAAATGCTGAAAACTGTCAGGAAAATGTCCTTAAATTCCCTGCAGCTTTTAAAATATATATAGATAAATTAATTAATAAAAACATTTATTCCAGCTTTCCACAAGAACAAGAAGAGTTCATTATGTTGAAAAATACAAGGAAGGGAAGTGTGGGATATTTTGATTTTGACTAAATAAAAGATTAATAAAAATAAACAAAACACTTTTTTTTTTCAAATCTCTTTGCGATAAAAACAAAGTTTCCATGGTGATTTAAGCTAGTAGCTATCATTACCGCAAAGGTAGGTGTGTCACGTGACCACAGACGTCATCCAAAGGTGTAAAGCCGTGTGTCACAAAATGTGAAGAATGAGTGGAATGGACGTATCCTAAAATGATTTCTAAAGTGTGTTGTAAGTAGGAAGAAGAAGTACTTATTGAGGTTCTTTATAAAAGTGTTTACCTGCTCAAAAACCTTGCGGTATCTTCGCGTGGCTTGGTCGACTAAATCCCGAACCGTCCATCCAGCTTTACAGGGAACCACCACAGCGGTGTCCCGGAAAGTCACTGTCACCTTCATATTCGTCAAAACTTCAATTTCCACCTAGAAAGTTGACAAAGCAAAGAAAGTTTCTAAAGACTGTGTAGCCGCAGCTGCTGTGAGGCGGAGGCACCTGTCTACCGAAACTGGAGCAACAGGTGTCTCTGGTCGGGATGAAATCTTACGTTTCCGTCGTCAAAGTGTTAAATGGACGTATAAAAACCACAGATGGCATCTTACTCTCAACCGTTCCGATCCGAGAGCCGCATTTACCGCGACAGAAAGTGTGTTTCTGTCATGTTGAAGTGTAGCCTACGCTGTTCCACCCAAACAAAACAAAGTGAGACAGGAACCCGGAAGAAATCACTGCGACTGCGGGCGCTTCAGGAAAGGGAATTTATCACACCTCCCCTGATTATTACAGCAGCTCATCACCCATGTTAGATGACTCATTAATCAGTTAGAGTGGAATTTCTTTATAAACTCTTACCCAAATACACACTTTTTATTTAGGATCATCTCAGTCGTGCCATTTGGTGTAATGACAGATATGATCCAGCTGATGTGGATATGTCTGCATTGGTCAACAACTAGAAGGATCATAAGCATCTAAAGGTCTGTGGTGCACAGGGGGAGTGAAAGTACATTTTGTGGTTAATTTCCATGTCTCAAAATAAGAATATAACTAAATCTGAATGACTGAAACTGACTGGTCATGAGTCTTGAGTATTTCAACTGAACCACAGAGCAACAGGAAAATAAGTCAGGTGGGCCTCATCTTTTATTTGACATTTTTTTACCATTTTTATCTTAGGAGGACATGGCTGCTGGAGGTAACGTGGGAAGAAGTCAGTCCTGCTGGGGCGGTACGGTCTTTCACTGATGACGCTGGTCAGAAAGGTGATCATTTAGTGTTCTGTCCATTAAAGAAGTCTCACTGGGTGATGGAACATTTACAAAGACATATTTTGTTGTGTGTTAAGTAAAATTTTCTTCCTTGAGTTCACGCACAGACTAGGAAGTAAGCCGTCGACAGGCTTTGGAAGGGAATGTTTGCCCAACTCTCACCACTTTAATCCCCCCACAAGCTTTTAACAAATACTGATCACCTCATTATTATTTTCTGTCATTTTATGCCAGCAGGTGTGTTGTGAAATTGCCTTTCTGCATATTAACGGCCACTGCAACGCTCTTGCTCCTGATTTTCTCAAATTGTTTAGTTTTGCTCTCTGGGGTTTTCTCTCTTTCAAATCAGAGAGCCACCACGACGGATGGAGTCATAATTGGGACGAGCAATTATTTCCACTGCTGCAGGAGTTCACCTTACATTTGTGGAGCAGAACAATGAAAAGGTTTGATGGCCTCCCTTGCGTCTCGTGTCATCTCAAACAAGGTGAGTGGTGGCAAAGGAACAGGAGGTAAAAAGCAGAAAAAATGATAAAAGAGAAAGAAAGAGATGATTTCTAATTAGTAAATCCAACAATGCCTGTGTCCTTGTCCATGTTCCCTGAGCTC